CTCTCTCCCTCTCTCCCTCTCTCCCTCTCTCTCTCTTTTATTTTTTAAAGTTTTTTTTAATAACATTGAGTTTGAATGTCCCTTCCCTGCATGGTTCAGAGCAAGTGAGCTTGGAGGCATGTAATGAGTGACACCTTAACTGTCCTGTGCCCTCTTGTAGGGGAAACAGCGTCCCTGTTCTCCACCGAGGAACCTTGTCATGGAGCTCTGGTGACCAAATAAATCTATACAGTGGGTGCTATATGATCAAGTCAATTTCTCATAAAGGAATTCAGGAAAAAACACTTCAAAATAAAGGTTTAGCCCAATTCAAAACTGAAAACTCCATAACTAATTATTATGCAAAGTAGAAGGGTGGGTAAAGAGGCAACCCCTTCCAGGCACCACTTCAATAGCTGAGAGTAATGGAGTTACTTACTCCTGTATAGCTCAAGTCCTCTGCAAGATGAGATAATCTTCATAAGGTTATCATGAGTTTTTAATGAGATAATATATATTTTAATGGTTTTAAGTTTACTCTAAAACATGGAGTATAAAAATGCCACATTCTGAATTTTTCTAAATCAACTTCCTTGTACTTTCAAAAATTAAATCTCAGTCATGTTTGGGGTCTCCTCCTCATCTCTAGGTCACACAAGAATCACTGACATATATGTCTGTGGTGTCCAAAAAAAATCAGGGTTGGGCCTCTAACCTTAGTCCATCAGGTCACTGCCAAGATCCACTAGTGCCCTAAAGATGGTCAGCCCCTGGGCGTAGGGTCTGGCCTCCTTGGGAACCCCCTGAAGGGTTCAGAATACGCCACCCCAAAATATGCCATTTTGGCATAAGGATTATTTTGAGCTGAAGGCAACTGAGAATCAACCAACGCAGGGAGAGTTCTCTGTCCTGCCCATAACTGCCTGAAAGCACGGCATAAATTTCCCTTTGTGAACGTAGCATGAATATCCCCCCTCTCCTATATCATGATGGGGAGAGCACCCCTTATCACAGGAGAGGGAGGGCCAGCGCCAAGATGAGTCTACATAAAGAAACCTTAAAAATCACCCTTACCTTCCATTATTTCCTAGTCACCTTCCCATAATTGATCATCCCTTGAAGCCCGAGCTCTTTTCTTTAGCCACTTCTCTACAATTTATCTTCCTTTGTTAGAATGGTATATAAGCCCCCACATCTAATCACGTATTTGGGGTTTTTACTTCTTTTCTGTGAAGCCCTGTTCACATAAAATTTTAAATCTTTTTTTTAAATTGCATGTCTTTTCACCTGTTAACCTGTCTTTTGTCAGTTTAATTCATAGGCCCTTGTTATAGACTATAAGGGGGTAGAAGAAATGGTTACTTTCCCTCCCCTACACCTCACAGCCAAATCCTGAGTTCCTTCTTCTACCCTAGGGTTTGGGATGGGGGTGATAGGACAATGCTCGCTTTTATTGCTTGCAGAATCCTCTCGAATATGTATTCCATTACCAACCTTGAGGAAACTTCTCCAAGCCTCTTATCACACTTCCACCTCTTCCCCTCCAGAGACCTCAAACTCTGTCCTACATCTCTAAAAAAATATTTTCCACAAACCACAACATGAAGCAAGAAAGCCAGAAGTTGGGATGGCAAAAGGGAAGAAAAAAACATGGACAACAGCAGCATGAAAAACATAAATTAGTATCTCAATAAACCACCCTGTAAAACAGTAGCACGCGTGCACACTAAAACTTCAATGAGTGGTAATTATTGTCATTGATGCTAGAGGCTGGATTGGGGACAACATAATTATTGTGCTAATACTGTACTATTGTTTCAGGTGTGGCCCATTCACGCAAAAGTTCTTTCGTGTTATCCACCCACTCCACCCTAGGTGCACCACTGGTCTGGTTGTGGGCTCTGGGGAGCAGACAGTTGCTATTTGAGATCCCATTTTTTTGGTACCCAGAAAGATAAATCAATTCAGCACACTGGTGAGCCCTCACTGCAGATGGTCAATCACCCGAGAGCTGTGCTCAGGTGGAAGAGAGCTGTGTTGGGCCGGGAGCCTGGGGCTGCTCAGCAGGGCTCCCCACTCTGCCTCTTCGCTGCAGCATTTAAGGTATATGCTTAGGTTTCTCACCTATAATGGAGGCAGGGACAAAAGAGGTCACAGATATTCAGTGGACACATTCTGGTAAAACCTCTCTGAAGAAGTCAATCTGTTTGGGGTAATACCGTGTCTCAGGAAATGCCAGTTCCCCAAAGTGCCATGTCACAAAATAGCTTCTCTCCAGCCTGATGCACTGGCAGTGGCACAAACGTGGAGACTACAATTCTCTGCATTCTTCCATGGTACATGAGAGGTTTAGCCATCTCTCCCATCCACTCCAGCCTCCTGCCACTCACTGGGGGTGGAGGGTGGAATCCTCTTGGGTACCCCCTTGCCTGTATCTCTCTCCTCCCTCCTTCCTGTGCCCCCACTAGCAGAAGGGGTGCATGTCTCCACCTTTCCTGCAGGTGTTTATCAGGTGGCTCCTTCTCATGAGACATTTCCTGGATACGATCTGAAATCACCACGCACACACACCCCCACACATCCCTTCTTTACTTCTGTCCTCAGCACAGACCATTTGTGAACATTATTTTAAAGCCAAGCACAGCAAAGAGGGACGAGCTGACACTTCATGAAGGTGTATTATGTGTTGCATTGTCTCCTCTGTCCTTGCACAAGCCTTTGGGGTAAGTATTGTCATTTTACAGGTGGGGGAGGACACTGAGGCTTGGTGATATGTCAGCTTTGTGCTCAGCTAAGAACACACAGAACCGGACGGACACTGCTCCTGGTCACTGAAGCATGGTCTCTACAATGCCAGGTAACTGTGCAGCCCAGGTGGTTTCCACCCCACCCCAAGGCCTCTCCTGAAGGCCCTGTCCCCCAGCCTGGCAGCGAGGGGTGGACAGAATGGAACTGACTCTGCTCAGTGGTCTTTGAAGAGCATCCCCAGCCCAGGAGGAGGACACCTACCTAAGGAGCCCACTGTCTGCAGAGGCTTGGAGAAGACAGCTGCCCCAGGAATGTGCTAAAGGGGCAAGAGCAGGTCAGCTGGTCTTAATCAGGCTAGTAAATGCATTGCCTGGCAGAGGGGGCCAGCCCAGGAGAGGAAACAGGGGCTTTCACCAAGGTAGCCAACCTGGCCTCATTCGATTGCGCTCAGTGGTAGAAATGTAGGCAGCACTGTTTCTCCCTGCTCTTCTTAAGGGCTCTGCCAATTTCCATTTTTTAGGGGGATCATGATTCCCATTGACTATATATATATATATAAAATCACTATACATATCATATATATATATATCACTGTGCTAAGTATTTTTGGTCATTACTGAGAGATCACAAGATGACTAGGAAAAGACGCAGCAGTGACAAGACACATCTAGGAAGTTCACAATGCTTCTCAGCTAGTGTGAATCTTGCAAATATTAATTTAACCTGCTGGGTAAATTGGTAATAAAATTCTCTTTGTATTCAAGAAGTGGCAAAGCTAACAGGCTGTAAGCCAGAATAATTCTGGGGTGGTTTAACTGCAAAGCATGCTAGCGCCTCTAATTGGACCATGAAGGGCTGCGTTCGTTGCCACCCCTCGTGACTGGAATAGCATTATTGTTGACTCATGTGGCATTCCCAACATTGCAATGCAACCTGGCCCAAATAGTTGTTGAATAAATATCATTGTACTAAGTCTAAAATTCAGACTACATAGCACAAAATGAAAATCTAGAGACTACAGTTAACCTGAGTGAAATTATCTAAACTCTGATGAATATTTTTTTAATGCCCATGGTTCAGGAATGGGTCTAGAAATACTTTTCTTGGTGCCCGAAAGCAGAGATCCTAGAGAGCCTTCCCAAGGAGTTTAATTGGGAGAGTTCATGGTCCCTTTGATGATCCAGCTGATAGTTGACCCCAGTGCCCAGAACCATAACAAATTCTGAATCTTGTGTATTCAACGTGAAACAAAAACAAATTTTGCCACTGAACTCAACAAAAATAACCTCAGTCAAAGGGCTAGTGATGTCTGGATATCTTTAATGAATGTATATTACCCAGCCCCTGAGCCTCAGGAATCCAGGGGATCAGCTCACCCAGTGCTCACAGTTTAAGGATGACACCTACCTCATCTCCCTAAGACAACAAACTGTCCAGTCTCTTCTTCACTGTGAACTCTGGCCTTTCTCTCGGTTCATCACTTCATCGCGTGACCAGTCAAGCCTAGGAAGGCAGACGTCAGTGCTAGGAATAGCCTGACTCTGCAAAGGCAGAACTGTGTTTCAGAAAGGGACAGTGAGCATGGGGTCCCACACAAATCAGGACAGCAGCTTAGTGTGTGCTGCTATGTGATCTGCCCCTTTCCTCTGTCTCTTTGTATGCGGTTTTATTCATACATCATCTGGTCTACTCTGAATCACAAGTAGTGACCTCCATGTTGTTAAACCCAATGGTCGAATCTCAGGCCTCATTCTCCTTGACCTGCCATCATTAAACCCAGTTATTTATCAGTCTTCCTAGAAAGACATTCTTCTCTTGGCTTCCAGGATGCCACGTCTGCCAGCTTTTGCTTCTACTCATCCTGGCCACTAATTTCTCAGTTTCCTTGGCCATTCTTCCCTCTAAATGTTCAGGAGACCTTGAAGTTTCTACAGAGGGTGCCAAAAACAAGTTTACACATTTTAAGAAAGGAAAATCTGGATTACAGTTATGCTGATGGTAACCACTTTGAGCACCTCTTGTAATTGCAGAAGTCAAACGTGACTTTGTATTCATCTTTTGTTATCGGTATATATTGAGTATTACAGTTTTAATACAGTTTTTTCCTTTCTTAAAATGTGTATACTTTTTTAGGAGGCTGGCCGTGTGATGCGTTGGTTAAGAGTTGGCTTGGGAGCACTGGCTCTGAGCAGCAGGGCCTGGGTTTGGATCTCATATGAGGGCCAGTGACACTGCTCCCTCTACAGCTAAGACAGTGAACAACAGCTCTACCTAGAGCTGGACTGCCGGGAGTTGCCGGTAATGGCATAGGCTGCAGCAGGACTGCAGTGGGCTGCCATAAGCTATTGTGAGTGGCTGGCTGCTGGCGTGAGCTGCCAAGAGCCTCTGTGAGTGGCTGTCCAATGGTCGGCAAGCAACTGCCTCCCCCCGGGAAGAGCGCAATGATAATACCAACATGGGCCAGTGAAGCAACGTCCTCCACCACTAGACTGAAGAACCAAAGGACAGCAACTTGTCTGTTCCCCTTCCCCGATTCCCCAACGCTATTCTCTACCCTAATCCCCCAATAAAATCTTTTTTAAAACAAATGTGTATACTTTTTTTGGCACCTTCTGTATATACATTTACTCCCTCAATGGTGTCATCAGTCTGATTGTTTTAAATATCTACCATCTATGTACTGATGTCTCTGAAATTTACAATACCTCTATCCCAAACCTCTTCCCAAAACTCCAGTTGTAAATACCCAACTGCCAACTTGATGTCTGCACTTGGTTGTCTAGTATTCATCTGAAACTTAAAATGCCCCAAAGTCCTGAATTCATTTCTATAAACTCTTCCCTTTGCTCACCCCCCACTCCCCCTTTCCTCTACCCCACAAACACACAAACACACACAAAAATCCCTGCTCCTCTGCAGCCTTCCCCTCTCAGGGAACGACAGCTTTTTTTTTTCAAGTTGCTCATATATATATATATATATATATATATATATATATATATTACCATATATTACTATATTTTATATGGTGTCACCTCCCACTTCTCTTTTTCCTCCATCCCCTACATCCAATCTGGTCAGCAAATTCCACGAGTTTAACCTGTAAGATATGACCGCCCTCCACCGCTCTTCAAGGTCCCCCTGCTATCACTTCGCTCCTTGCCCCTCTAGGTTATTGCATCAGCCTCCTAACTGGTCTTCCGCTTATACCCATGCCTGCTTCAGTCTCTTCTCAACACCACCGTCCCACTGATCCTGTTCGAAGGTAATCAGATCCTGTCATTTGTCTGCTCCAAACCCTTCAATATAAATTCCTCTCTCACTGAAAGTAAACATCCAAGTCCATACGAGACTCACAAGGTCCACATTTTCGGACCCTCCTTACATCTCTGACCCCTTTTCCTTCTCCTCTTCCCGCTGGTTCACTTGTTCCACTTCCTCCATCACCCCAGCCATGCCCCTACCCTGGCCCTTTGCTCTGGTGGTCCTCATTCCTGAGAGGGAGCCATGTGCCTGCCTCCACCTTCCCTGCAGGTCTTTATCAGGTGTCCCCTTCTCGTGAGGCCTTTCCTGGACACTATCTGAAATCACCATGCACACACCCTCAAGGCCCCTTCCCTTCCCTCCTTTACTTCCTTCCTCAGCACAGACCATTTGTGAACGTTATTTTAAAGCCAACAGTGAAACACTGCCTTTGCATGATACAACAATCCCCTATATGGCTTACCTACCTTTCTTACATTCTGTCTATATCCCTCACTAGGACCAAAGCACTACAAGAGCAGACATTTTTGTCTGTTTTGTTCTTTGTTCCCTGCTGTATCACCAGCACCTAGAAGAGAGCCTGGAACACAGGAGGTATTCGTTCAATTAACATTTCATGAACAAAGGAACCCACACAAATCTTCATTGCCTCCAACTAGAACCCACTAATCAGTCTTCGTGAGCCAGTTGCAATTCTCGTGTGCACATGTCATCTCAGGGTTGTTTGCTAAAGAGCCTTTAACCAGGATCCTTGCCAGGGAGCTGATAGTCTAGAAAATATGCTTTGCTCACTTACACGTTGCAGCTCTACTGAGATTTTTTTGTTTTAATTCACAAGACTTTGTTACTCTGTTTCTTCATTTGTACGACATGAAAAAAAATTAAGAACGTTCACTTCACCCTGAAGTGCCATTTGCATCTAAAGATGATCAGATACTAAATGGACACGATAACATTGGACAGGCGATCACAGGGTCCTTGGCAGGGATCCTTGGTCCCTCGCTGTTAGCATCTCTAAGCTTCAGGGAAGCTGGACTCTCAGAGAAGCAAGTCATTCTCCACTGAGATCCAGGGCAGCTGTCTACGGATGGTTCACTGACATTGAATTTGTAGGTCTAATCAGGAAACTACAGGACCACCTGTCGAAAGCTATTATTTCTATGTCAGTATTATTCCAGCCACATTATAATCTGATGATGCATCTTCATCTGGTCATTTAAAACCATGTCAGAATGGCATTTAATAGGTAAACCCAGAGGTGAAATTTAAAAAGAGAAACCTTTATGTAATTTAGTTAACATATTGAAATGAGCAGCATTTATTAAATGAAACGGCACTTCCTCTCTTTCATATATATATTATATATATATATATAATGTACATTATATATATACATTATATATATACATTATATATATATAATGTAGTACATATTGTATTTATATATTACATATAAAATCAGGTTCTACATGAAAAGAGCTGACGAGTGGCTATTACCAGTCATTTGGGCTTCTGATTCTCCCCTCCATTCATTCTCATCACCCGCACAGCACGTATCTAGTCGATCCAGCAGGCACAGGTGCAACTATAAAACAGGAAAAGGTTTTTATTACTTTCCAGTCCCATTTAAATGGAGATAGTGACTGCAGCAGCCTGTCAACCTGCTGGTGATAAAACCTTTCAAATGAAGCCGCCTCTTTTGCAAAGATAAAGAAAGCTAGATTCACAGCCTAATCTCCTTGCATCTTACAGCCTTCTTTTTTTTTTTAAAAGACTGTCTGTGAACATTATTTTTAAAACCAACAATGAAGCTCTGCACTTGCACAACACAACTTTACGCCCCACACACAGAGAGGCTGCTGCCTCTGAATTAAAATCTCGCTCACTTCCCACCCCACCCTCCACCATCTCCCACCCCAGTCCTGGCAAATGAGGCAATGCAGAAGACTGCGAGGCCTGGTCTTCATCGCTCCTCCTTACACCTCTGCATCCCAGAGTGGAGCCCTGATAGAGACAGCTCAGGAGAGATGGCATATCGGATGTATGCTGAAGGATTCTGCAAAATTCTGACAAGGGAACTGGGAGGTCAGCGGAGCTTACCCTCTAAGCCAGCTGGGAAGGTAGAGACACAATCTGTTTCATACGGCAAACATCTGGAAACAGAACAGTCTGTCTGCTGGTCCAGAAGACCACCCCCAAGCAGTATTTCTAATTGCTCCATTGCGGTGCTGTTTTTGCACAAACTCACCGAAGCCAGGTCATGTGGTTATTACTAATAGTTTATGCTTTATGATTGCTACAGTGCACGGAAAAAGAAGGAAAGCTTTCCAGTTCATTTCTTGAAGTCAATATCACCCTGGTACCAACAGCTGATAAACACCTTGCCTTGCTTTCACACACACAAAACCAATATCATTTACAGTAGATGCACAAATTTAAATAAAATACTAGCAAAAGCATGTCAAACAACAGTAAAAATTGGTGCAAATGGGTCCCAAGCCACAGTCTCGCATACACTCTTCCCTTTGCTGTGCACCCTACATGCTCTCCTTGGCTACAGTTCTACAGTGGGCAGGTGTGGGGAGTCTTCCTCCTATTATTGGCCTTGAGAGGAAATGAGGGCTTGGCCTATATGCTTTGGGGAGAAACAGCAAGGGTAGACGGAAAACTGAGCATCAGGGAAGGCTTCTCAAGGAGAAAGACAGTCATGATGGTTCACCCTTTATCCCCAACAAAAGGGGACGCAACACTTCCTTGAGCACCGGCTTCGTGACCCCCTCCCTACTCCTGTCCAAGGGTGGCAGGGGGAGAAAAGGCTGAAATATGAATGAAGATCAAATCCAAATTAGCAGACATACCATTTTTTCTGGATGAGAAGTCTCAGTACTGTGGCATGGCAGTTCTTCCCAAATTAATTTCCATATGCCCCAAGACCTGATGGGATACTGACTGGACTGACTTTCACTCAACATCTCAAATGAGGTGGGGTGGTAGTGGATATTTGTGGTGGTGATAAACTTGACAAAAATAAGACTCAAACACTAGATTCTCAAGTTCACCTGGAAGACATTTTGGAAAAATAAGAGTAAAGACTTGTACTATCACTCTTGACAATGTATATTTGTATGTATGACAATGTATATATGACAGTGTATATTTTTAAAACAACCATAGTCGTTATGCAATTTTAGGAGTAATAGGCCGAGATTTGAGATACACAGAGGAGGAGAAGTCCGTGTGAGGTGGAGGCAGAGACTGGAGTGATGCAAAGGAATGCCTGGAGCCACCAGCAGCAGGAAGAGGAGAGTACAGCCTCGTGTACCTGCTATTCCGAGCCACTTACCATGTGACCCAAACCCACGGATGCCTGGCTGGGGTAGCTGCAGTCTCATTTCCTGCACTGCTGCAGAGGGGACAGCCTCACACTTAGGAGAAATCAGCTTTGCTTCATTAACAAATATTAAGTTAGCCTAAGACACTGGAGTTTGTATTCTGTTGAGCCTTTATACACACACACACACACACACACACACACACACACACACACACACACCCGAAGACAAAATGTTGTGATATAAATTATATACATTTTATTCCTGGATAAAATGCCTAGAAATGTCCTTCTTGGTCACTCAGGGCCTAAGTCTCAAACACAAAGCATGGTTTTCTGACTCTCTACTAGGCGAATATCGATCAAAGTGTGATAAACGTACCACCTGAAAACCCCATTTAAAATTCAGAATCCAGAGCCCAGGCCCAGATTTTCTGAATCAGAACCTCTTGGAGGGGGGCCCAGGAGTGTGCAATATGCAAATTTTTTTCTCGTGTGACTTTTACACACATTCAAGCTTGAAAACCACAGCATTGACACATCTGTGACTTGGTTCTATTACTGCCTGTTGATTGAGCATCCAACTTCCCATCTGGAAGATAAAGAAAAAATCTTATCTGCTGCTTGGTATTTGTCTAACATCCTTTGAAATCCTGAGATCAGAAGGGCGAGATAAACACAGCACTATTATTTATCAGCCCTTCACTTGCGAAAGGCCCCTGTCAGCATTTTCTTCGGGCTCTGCTAAAGTGTACCCCAGTGGGAAGGGCCGGGGAGCCACTGAGGTTCTTTCCCTCTCACTTCACATATACGGACAAGTTAAAATAGTAAGTTTCAAAGTGCTTCAGATACATTTTCCCCCTCTTTGCAGTATTCGAAATCAGATCTGCCGACTGCCCTTAGGCCCAATTGAGCCCAGTGTAGTTTGAGCCATTCAAGTCTCTAAAGGTCTCATAGCCCAGCCTCTGAAGCCAGTTACTCAGTGGACAGGAAAGCCAGTCCCCTTCCCCAGCTACTCAGGCCCAGGTGCAAGCAAATGAGCTCTCTGTAACATGACTCAGTGCTTGCCCAATACAGTGTATTATTTCACTTAATGCCCCAACAGCCCCATGAGCTGAGCTTCATTATTTTTATTTTAGAAGCAAGAACGATAAGGCTCAGAGAGGTTAAGTAGCTGGCCGAAGGTCACAGGACTGGTGCTTAGCGTCACTGTCATTTGGATCCTGCCTGTGCTCTGGGAGCCACATGCGGGTCTTCCAATATTGAGGAGCCGTGATGCAGGGCGCTGCTCCATGCTCCATGCAGATCAGGAGGACTGGCTGGTTTCTGCCTCGCCCCTAGGCTTAGGGAAGGAACACCATAAATATTGGTGAATAAATGAGGCCCGTATCTAAGAGTGTTTGCTTGCCCCTGAACTTGGGCAGACTTCTCTCATACAGGCTGCCTGACCCCACACTGGACTCCCTGAGCCATCTGCCCTGGAGGCCAAACTGCTGTTCCCCATGGTCTGATTGGAATATTAGTTTTATTGGAAACCCCCTTTCTTTCCCCACCAACTGCTTGCCTACTATGTGCTATAAGCTGAATGTAAGCGTACACACACACACACACACACACACACACACACACACACACACAATTCATGTTAAAACCTAACTTCCAGGGGCCGGCCGAGTGGCTCAGTTCATTAAGAGCTTGCTCAAGAGTTTGAGCTCTGAGCAACAGTGGTTCGATGCCTGGCCTGAGCTGAGCTGCGGCTGAGCTGCCAACAGGTGGCAGGATGGCTCAGCTAAAAAAAAAAAAAACAACTAAAAAAAAAACTAACCTCCAGTATGATGGTATTTGGAGATGGGATTTTGGGAGGTGATTAGGTTATGAGGGTTGTGCCCTCATAAATGGGATTAGTGCCCTTACAAGAGACACCAGAGAGCCCCCTCCCCTCTTCTGCCAGGTGAGGACACATTGAGAAGATGGCCATATATGAAGCAGGAAGCACGCTCCCACCAGACACCAAATCTGCCGGTGTCTTGATCTTGGACTTCCTAGCCTCCAGAACTGTGAGAAATAAATGTTTATTTCAGCCACCCAGTCTGTGGTATTTTGTTATAGCAGCCCGGACAGACTAAGACACGGTGGGTCATTTTCTAGGCAAGTCGGCTCCAGACGTTCCCTTTCCATTCTGCTGGCTGGACTGAATATCCTTGTGATTCCTGGCATGTGA